TATATGTTTCCTTTTTATAAAAGAAATGTCTCCCAGAAAACTTGCTGCTTATGTACATACCATTACCATTCACTAATTATCCAACCATTAATCCTAGTAAGGGGGGGGGGGAGACTATCCCAGACAGCATAAAGCACAAGACAGCTGTGCACACTGGTGATTCACTGCAGAAATCAGCCCAAATTCATGTTTGTGCTGTGGGAGGAATCAAGAGTACCTGAAGGAAACCCACACATGACAGGAAGAACATACAAACTCTGCACATATAAAGCTGAAGCAGGATTCAAGCCTGCAATCCTAACAATATGAGGCAACAGTGCTACCCATTTGATTTATGGAAGATGATGCTGATGATTATGATGATCATCATTATTGTTATTATTAATTGCTATAAAAGGGTTACCTTTTTGCCATTGGATGGAATCCAACAATTGGGGTGAAAAGTAATTCTACTCAAATTTTACCATTAAAATTAACATAAGAAGTCTTACGTCTAACATGTTTACATTTTGCTGACAGATATTGAGTCTTCTACAGAGAATGATTAATGATTAATACATTTTTTATCCTTATTGCAAACAATAAAATACGATTACCCTTTGTTTATAAATAAGTAGTGGTGTTATACAACTGACTATCAATAGGGTCTGACCACAGATCCTTGGTTTCTACCATTTTCATTTTCATGTATCACGGCCATAATTCCCCATTCATCACATCTGGAGCAGCAGCACTATCAGTACAAAATAGTATCCTCTGCCAAACATCCAAGTCATAAGCATGTGTTTTCTTTTATGCTCGTACTTTTCAAATACGACACAATTTAGACACATTTAGATGCTATGTTAAATACAGCCTCTCCCCAGGTTATGATGGGGTGACCTTCCGATAGACCAATCATAAGGCGAAAAGGCATTTTAATACAGTACACCTAACCTAATAAAAATCACAGCCTAGGTTAGCCTACCTTAAACATGCTTAGAACACTTACATTAGACTGCAGTTGGGCCAAATAATTCATATAAAGCCTATAATGTACTGAATCACAGTCTAAATATCGTAACATGGACCATCGTAACCCGGGAAGCATCTGTACTGAAAATTAAACATTTAACTGCTATTTAAATTAAAGAAATAAAGTACCTTATACTGTCAATACTATGTATGATTTAGATACTCAATACATAATTTAGGTAAATGGTTTTTGCTTAGGGTTAAATGCCGGCTTTACTGTGATTTGAAAGTGCTGCTATCAGGTCACATATCCAAGTCCTTAATTATCAGATCACAATTTACACCCCCCCCCCCACATGAAATGTTGAAGCAAATTAATCCACTATCACATTCCTATCATCCATATAGTCTCCAGCCTTCATTCAAATGAACTAAGGGTAGCCTTTTATTAAATCCTGACAGCCAATAATTCAAACACCGATGGTACCACTGTTAGAATAAAAATGCCCACCATGCATCTAGCGCTGCCCTCAGTAGCCACCTCTCCTCTTAATGGGCATCCAAAGTCCATTTTGCAAGGCTGTGTCTTTGCAGGACTGTCTTTGTATGCAGAGATTCCCACAGGAAAGAGCACATCCATTTCATTCCAGAGGACTGTGAGACACTAATCAGTTGTACACCCTAAGTCATGCCTGTATATCCTTAATTAGGTTTCGATCACAGCTTATCTATTTGAAAAAAAAGGCTTATACCTATTAGACACTGGATGGAAATAACTTCCAATTAGAAATCTCATTTCATACTCAGCTTTTGATAATAAACCATGCCTTTTTGAACACTCTTCACAACTGTTTTTGTTGTTTGTTTAGATACAACGCAGTAATCAACGGCCCCTGCCTTCTTATTAATACACCTTCAAGAAATAAGGTTTGAAGGGAGGTACTGATGATATCACACAAAAAAATGAAACATAGCTATGTGAAGCAGCTCAAAATTGGCCATGAAACATTTTCCCTTTTATTTTCCACGACCTGCCAGCTCAGATCAGGCAGAATTCCCCAGGATGTGGCCCTATTAGCTTTCCTGCTGCCCTTCTTGGGACAGTTCTCCAACCCATCATCTTTCCAATCCCCCAACCGCTTTTTACCAGGCTGAATTACAGCCTGACATTGTCTGCGTCAACAGAGAAGTGCATCAGAAAGCCTTCATCCTGGTCCCATCAGATAGCCCCTGCTCAGTGTCCTGCTGCGCTGATGTTTTCTGATATATGCGATTTGGACAAGGGGCACAATCTTTCCGTTGATGCGATAGGGCTTTCAAAACCAAACAAACATGTGCCGCCAGAGGTATGGCCAGATGCTGTGCATTGAACAATAACTGAAAAATAGCGCACCACAGCTAACTGTATTCATTTTATCAAACATCTCAGTGCTGGACCAGACACGGAATCGACAACGGCAGCTACTCCACTTAACAGCTCAACATGGTGTATGAGAACTCTGAGGCACTGATGCTTAGAGTCGCTGAGCATCACTGAGCTGGTCACATTTCTTCACAGCTATCCTACTTCCTTCTGCCTTTCCATCGTCTAAGCATGGGCAATTTTAGGACAAAAAATGACTGACAAATTATAAGCGATTTCCAGCTTCCTACAACAGCCTTAACACACGTTCTTATTAAAGGCCTTGTCAGCTAACATGACTGACCCTGTACCAGGCCAAGACACTTTCAAGGATTTGTGTCTGCTGAAAAGGGAAATGTTGAGCATTGTTGAAGGCCGGAAATTGCTTATTACAATCCCTTGTTTGAATAAAGTTTCAGTTTTTTTTTTTTTTTAAACAATTATATTCATATCTAATAAAAAGTGAAGAAGAATACTGCCATGACAATTTAATTTTTCCCAATATATACTTCGTATTGTGGCTTTTCTTGGTACTAGCAGTTAAACCGGGAGATTTCATTTTTAGCACCAATTACTGACAGCTAATATAAATAAAAAACAAATTGCCAAATTAGCCAAACACGAATAAATAACAAACTGTTAACTAAGAAACAACAAACACACTAACATATAATTACAAAATTTACTTTTAGGACTGGCTTCATCATTTAGTCAGCAATTAATACTTTAAAATCAATCAGCTAATGCTTTACACTACATTATTATGCTAACATTTATAAGCAGTAAAACAGCAAAGTAATGGTTTATATCTATATTTTTGTTAAAAAATCAACAGCTTGATATGCAGAGCACACACAAACACACACACACACAGCTAATATAAGTTAGTGTTGAATTTGTGATATTTAAATAGATTTTCATGAGAAAATACATTAGTTCAATACATTGGTATTACAGTACACTACAGATTCCGAAGAGCAATAATTATTGAAACACTTGTTTTCATTCCATAATAAAAATTTAAATTAAAAAATTATTTAAGTTAAATTAACTGATTATCTTTACACATTATTGTATCAGTTTACTTGTTAAGTACTCATGATGCTAAACGCAAGATAATTTATAGGTGTGTGCAATAACCCAAGAGCAATTTTAATATTTTCAATTCAGAAAATGTGAATTAATTACATTTTTTTAATTAATTGTTATGCATGGTGTTGTCACAGTAATTTTCTGTTGACCCCCAGTCCTAAAACACAAATATAATAAGACAATGAATTAGTATTTTAACAAAATTCAGTACAGTTATTTTCATTCAGTGAACATTTTATGAAAAACACCGGCTTATTAATGCAAACAACCTGCTGCTCCAAGCATATGGCTGCAGCTGAATACATACAGCAGACAGACTGGGTCAAGAGGTTTGCTTAAGAGTTGAGTAAGCATTTCACCGGCTGAGACGCCTCATCTAATCGATTGTGAATGTGGTCAGAGTATTGGTGCCAGACATAGTGGTTCCAGCACCTCAGAAACAGTCACCCTACTGCTACGGCTTAAAGAATGCCAAAATAAAAAAAAATAAGAATAAAAAATAAATAAATTCCAGTCGGCGGCACCTCTGTGGGTGAAAACTCCTTGTTAATGAGAGGGGTCAGAGGAGAATGACCAGACTCGTTACAGCTAACAGGAAGGCCATGAGTGCAGGAATAACAACTTGGTACAACAGTCATGAACAGAAAGACTTCTCTGAACGCACAACTTGTCTACCCTTGACGCAGTTCTGAAGGTACAAGTGTATCCAACCTGGTATTACCTCGGAGTACCTAATAAAATGGCTACTGAGTGTACCGATATATCATATATGTTAAACTAAGTAAATATTAGGGGACATATGAACAAGCCCAAATGTGGTGATTTTTATGTGGTTGAAACAAAACACATTAATTGAGCCAAAAGCTGCACAAACGCAAGAGCTTCAGACAACTGGGACCTTTAGACTCATTTCGAAGAGTCACTTCAGTGGCTTTGCCACAGCAATATTCTCACATCTATAGTATGCCCGTAGTTGTTCGGCATGCACCTCGACCAAAGACTTTGTTTTCTGCCTCAGCAGTACAGCAGACCCATAAAAATGATTAGGATACGGAAATGTGATCTATACAAACACACATCCGTCCATTTGCCACAGCGTGCAGGGCTGCAGTCAGCCTAAAGCCCCACCCATGAAGTTTAAGACGTGAGGCAGGGGGCATTATGGATGGGATGCCTATTGCAGGACATTCACACATTAATGGTAGTTTAAGCTAACACCTTTTCATCTAATTATGTATTTTGCAACTGCAGGAGAAAACTGAAACGTGTACCCAAAGGAAACCCAAGCACATACAAGGAGAACATGCAAGTTCCGCAACCAAAGAACTGGAGATGGGAACCTTACCTCTGTCCCTGGAGATGTGAAGGCACAGTGCTACCCAATAAGCCTCCATACGACTCCATGTACCCACAGCCCATTCATATGCATGCGTACAAAGACCCACCATAAAAATACTATACTGTATATATAACCCATAAAGCAGAGGTTGTGGGTGCTGACCATTTGAACACATCCCAAAATGTTAATTGGTATCATTATCAGTATTATTACCTGGAACAAAGCTCCCTTGGACGACTTCTTTATACGCCCACCAGCCTTCATGAATTTTTGGTGGATTTGGCTGTGCTGCTAGAAGAAAAACAAAGAAAAACAGTCATTTATAAAACATCTACCTAAAGGACAGGGTATTTTTACAATCATAGTCTATAAACCTGAAAAATGCCTCCACCCTGCTCCAAGTGTGTATCATATTTACAAGGCAGGGTGGCTCAACGAACCAGGCCTTAGGCATTCATTATTTTTCCAAGAGGCATTAGTACGGAAACACTTCATGTCACAATCAGTAAGCTGTTTTGGAGATCCAAGATTGCAGAATATTGGTGTTTTATAATTAAGGTGGCAGCAATAGGTAAAAGGCCCACAACAAAGACAGATTGCGACTTCTGATTTATTAGGCAAGGTTTCAGAGCCCTAATGCATGAGATTTTCCATAAACATGGCACCACTGAAACAAGGCTTAATAGGGAAGCAAAAGCTTGCCTGATTCCATTTTAATGGAAGTGTAAGTAGTTTAATCCCCTTGCAGAGAAATGAAACTAACACAAAAAAAGTGCTTCAGTTCGGGAATGTGAGGAGAGGGAGACTGGATTGTAGTAGGAAAATCCGCTTCTGCTGGTGAGGCAGGAGGATGAGAAACAGAGTGAGAATTTCCATCAAGTGCTGACACAGAGCAGGTCTTGTGCATTAAAATTCCATCTGAAGTCCTCTGTTCATAACAGGATTTCCCGGGAAGTCGTGTTCTCTACAAAACTATCTATTCGATTTAATATGTGTTGCAAAAATAATTTGAAAATGGACCAATGCTGTTTTACGCTGCATAAGACTGGCATACAGTACACAACGGTGCAATAAAAGCTGCTAAACAGACCCACCCGCCCACCACCATCTCACTTTAAAATAGATTATTTGACTTAATTGGTTAATTTCCCTACAAGCTTATCATTTCTTGGACTAAAGGTAGATGACACATAAGCACAGTGAAGAGTCCAGCAATGAAAGAATGGACAGCGTTCTGATGCACAGAAGCATAAGCGCTCTCAGAAAATCTTTCTAGGATCACTTCCAAGGGGGTGTGTGAGGCTCATTACACTTGTCAGTCACCACATTGTAAGTTCTGGCTTTTAATTCTAATACAAGCCGCTGTCGAGACATTAAGAATGAGAGTTTCCAAACATTACGAATTGCCGGGTATTACCCGGACCTGGTACCATGATGAAATGATTCATTTAAGTGCCATTTTTAGTGTCTGCACTAATTTTTTGTCATAGTGTAACTTCCTTTGTGGACTATTATACATTGCATTCAGAGAGTCATTAATCTTAAGTCATTAATATGAGAAATTAACTGGGATGTTACTGGTCTAGCCTCTCATACCAGTGTGGTCTTCCAGGAAATGCCTGACGCAATCACTTCCTCCGACTTGCAGGCTGATGCAATGTGTGGTTTCTGATGAGTTGGAAGCAGCAATGCAAAATAAATCAAAACCACGCAGCAAGCCTCTGTGTCAGTTCAGGCACTTGAGAACTGTGATCCCCAAAAGCAGGCTTCCTCAAATAATGACCTTTGACGAATGAATGGCCATAAACACCCAATCCACTGGCTTAGTTTAGCTTCCAACACACCAACGGCACACAGTCATTATCCTATTGTTAAGCCAGACATATCAGCTGCTTCCTGCGATTTTCTAGACTCTGACATTCAATAGGTTAAATCATCCCATCACCTGTGTTAATGGGCCGCTCTGACAAATGAGAGGGGATGTTGTGCTTATAGACAATGGAGCATATGGCTGTCAGTTCATTTAAATGACATGACAAATTAATTGAAATTACATTTCATTTTGTGAACTCAGACTCAAAACACACACATATATAATACATTTTGAAAAAGGCATATTTGATCCATTGGTTATTGAACAATTTTATAATTGTCAGATCTGTCCCTCAATCCAGTTGGCTAGTTACCTGCCCCAGGTGTGATTGTTACTTATGGCCACGCCCACCTCTAGATAATTTCAACATAGAATCACCCACACCTGCAATCACTGTATTTATGCATTGTATCTATTTATGTCTTTTTAATGTCTTCTTGCTCGGTATGCTTCTCTGGCATTCAGTGCTGTTGGCTACCTTGTTTGGATTTATTAGATTTACAATGATCCTGGTTTTGACTCCCATTGGTTCTCTTATTTCTGGTTCCCGGTGGGTCTGGATTCCTGGTTGCTAAATCATGACCCTGTTTAGTTCCTCAAGCCTGTCATTTGTGATACCCATTGTAACTCTGAGCTTGAGTCCTTCTTAGTCTCCTCAGCTATGTGCTTCACAGTCTGCGGCCCTGTCAGTCCTGTCAGCACTGAGTATTTGTAGGCGTGCCAGCTGAAGAGGAATGGACTGACAGGCAGAAAAGCCTGCCATGCGGGTGTGCCATTCTATCAGGGACCATGTACTGTGCTCAGGATCTTGGTTAGTCCTGTTGGTGTGACAATACTGAAAATTTCTTTTGTCGGTAATATAGAAATGCTATTATTTCCTGTAAGGAAAGAATAATCTGGGGTTTACTGTGTTTTCATTTTAAATAAAAAAAAATAGGCTTGACAATCTCAATTCACATCAACATTTCGATCATGCTCCTGAATTCTGAGGCCTCGTGAAAAGATGCAATGAAAAACATCAAGGCTTAAACCTTACATAAAACTGCACCATAACCTTTAAAAAGAAAAAAATATCCTTTTCGCCCAATGAGAAATTCATCCTTGAAAACCATTCTAGGGATCAGGGCATAGTTTTACAAAAACTACAAATGGAACAGTTTCTCATTCATGAAACACACACACACACACACACAATGACATAAAAAATTATATGGATACCATATCACAGAAGTTACAATAGTATGAAACAAAACATGAATCATATGCATACAATAAACTACAGTAAAACCTCGGAATGCGAGCATGATTCATTCCGGAAACGTGCTTGTAATCCAAAGGACTCGTATATCAAAGCAAATTTTCCCATTAGAAATAATGGAAACTCAGATGATTGGTTCCACAGCCCAAAAATATTCATATAAAAATGATTAACACAAAATATAAAGTACATAAAACAAATTAACCTGCACTTTACCTTTGAAAAGAATCGTGGATGGTGAAAGGAAGGCGAGAGAGAGGAGAAGAGGAGGGTTATTTTGTAGGACGACTTTCACTATAACTAACGGAATCACTGCTATCTGTTGGCTCACTAGAATCTTCTTCTTTCTGTGAGACTTTAACAAGGAACCTATCAGGCTTTTGCTTCCTTTTCGATTTCATGGAAATGTGGACATTGCATTTTTGTTAAACAGATTCATCAGTTGCACTGCTACGCCCTTATTCGGGTAGTGCTTTTTTTTTTTTTTTACTAAATTTTGACTGAGTGAGGCATGCCGACTAAGACCGAGCATGGGAGATGATTACCCACAATCCCGCAGCGAGAGAGAGAGAAGAACCATCAGCTCAGTTGTTATTACGTGACGCTCGGCAGACAAAGCGTATACGTAATACTCGTATTGCAAGACCTCGCTTGTTTATCAAATTAAAATTTATTTAAAAATTTTGTTCGTCTTGCAAAACACTCGCAAACCAAGTTACTCGCAATGCAAGGTTTTACTGTACTTTGTCGTGCATCATTATAATAATATACTGAGTGTGTGTGTGTACACAAACATACATACATACATACATACACACGCACACAACCAGACAATTACCGATTTGGAGGTAGTTTTGTACACGAGCAGACCAGCGATGGGTATGTAATTGATTCGGTTTGCAAGGGGCTGGCACATCTGGTCACCAAACACAGAGGATGCCTCATAGACGCATTAGACAGCATTACCAGCACTTGACAGAGTTTGATATGGGTCACATTGTGGGTTTGCATGAGTCATATTGTGTAATTGCCCGGCATGTGGGACATGAAGATGTCACAGTTGACTGATGTTGGAAACAATGGGCATATGAGGGCACACACATTGTGAAGGTTCTGGTCACCCAAGACAGACCACACCAAGGGAGGGTCTTCATATTGTGTGCCAAGCATTACAGAACCCCATGGCATCTGCGCCTGCCATCTGGACACAGGTATTGGACTCTATGCAACACCCCTTGTCATCCCGCACCGTGTCTTGACAACCAGCATCAGCCGGACTACAGGTTCACCATCTCATGCGTAGGCTGCCGTTAACACCAGTACAGAGACGGCTGCGTTTGGAGTGGTGCCGTAACCGGGAGGCATGGACTGATGACGAGAGATGAATCTTGGTTCTGCATTACCACGGATGACCGTCACGTGCGAGTATTGCGGCGCCGAGGGGAAAAGACCAATCCTGCCAATGTTATGGAGAGACACACCGGCCTTACTCCTGGCATCATGGTGTGGTGAGCCATAGGGTATGATTTCAGGTCATCTCTGGTAGTGATTCAGGGGACCCTGACTGAACAGCGCTACGTCTCAGGAGGGGTTAGACAGCACCATGCTACAGTCTTTCAACAAGACAATGCCCATCCACACATAGCATGTGTGTCTATGGACTGACTGCGTCATGTTGAAGTCCTCCTGTGGCTAGCCAGGTCTCCTGATATTTCCCCAATCGAACATGTGTGGGATCAGCTCGGACGTCAACTCAGACCCAGTGCCAGTCTGCAGGATCTTGAGGTCCAGTTACAACAGCTGTGGGCCGACTTGCCGCAGGAGAGGATAAAACGGCTATACGGCTCCCTTCCGCACTGCATCACCGCATGTATCCAGGCCCGGGCAGGTGCCACACCCTACTGACTTGGGACCAGCAACTATATATGTTGTCTTTTTGATCTGAATATAATCATTGTGATACAGTCACATGACCTTTAACCACATGCAGATTCATTTGATTTCCACCACTTCGATTTGGCACTTTCAATTTGGTCCCTACAATGTAATACAAACATAATACACACACAGACACAGACACAGACACACACATGTTCACTTACCTATCCAAATGGGGACCTTCCATTCATTTCTATGGGGAAAACTCTAACCCCAGTGACA